TCCCTTTAGACTTGGTTTCAGTTTCTGAGGTTTGAGCTAACCTGCAGTCAGTAGCAGTCCAGAAGACATCTGGTGTTTGCCTTTAGTCCCAGCACCTGGGAGTGCCAACAGGAGGATCACAACTTGAGCCCAGCCAGGGTGATTTAGCAAGACCCTGGCTCAAAATTTAAAATGTAAAAAGGGCTGGGGATATATAGCTCAGTGTGAAGGCCCTGGGTTCAATCCCTAGTATCTCTCACACACACAAGAGTAAATGGAAAGTTCCAGAAATAAACAGTTCATAAATTTTAAATTGTATGCCATTCTGAGAAGTGTTAGGAAATCTCTTAACAACACATTGTTATAATCGTTCTATTTTATTGTACCTAGTTTATAAATGCCTTCTGTACCACTCTTCCTTGTATCTTTGTTTCATTTTGGGTATTTTTTTAGGTACTGGGGATTGAACTCGGGACCTTGTGCTTGCGAGGCAGGCAGTGGCACCACTGAGCTAAATCCCCGGCTCTTCCTTGTATCTCACATCTTCCAAATTCATGTGCACACAGACACATACTTCCAAATAGAAATCGAAAGAGGCATAATCCAGATTAAGAACCTGAAAGAAACAGAAAGAGGGGACAGTTGAATTGTCTGTGTGACAAATGAAGAGAAAGGCTGGGAGCTGTGAAGCTAAAGAAAAAGAAAGAGGCTCACTGAACTGAACCCGAGCGTATAAATGCCGAACTCATTGCAATGTCAGGGCTTTGGAATGTTGTTTTCATTGAGATCAGAGCTATGAACAAGGATTACCACAGCAAGACAAGAGTGCCCCGGGACAGAATCTTCTAAAACAGGGCACTCAGTTACGTAACCAGCTTATATCGTACATGATGTCATAGCGGCTGTTGGTGGTTGTCGGCTCCAAATTGTGTGGTTTAACTACAGGATTTACTATTTGGGAGCACAGTTGTCCCACATGGATTTTTACACTGACAGTCAAGTGGAGTGTAATGTAAAGGAAGAGGTCCTGGCATCCTGCTGGGTCTAGGAGGTGTGCACATCTGTATGTCCTTCGTAAAGGCCCCTACCTGCTTCTGTGGTCCTTGTTTGCTCTGAGCATCCCAGAGACAGTGAGTGATTCGTACAAGGTTTTCAGTGGCCAGCCTGTAGGCAGAGTTAGGCTAGAGCACCTCTCCAGGGCCCTCTGATACATGAGAACCAGTTATATCCTAAAGATGCCTAAAGAGACCACAGCACTTGAGTTCAGATTTTTAATGAGCCTGCCTTTGTTCCATCAGTACCCTTGCAGGGTCTCTGTAATATGAACTTCCTGCTCTTGCTCCTGATCCTGATGAATCCAAGGAGGGTGAATGGGTGGTGGGAGGAGGGAGGAGGGAAGTAAAGAGCCCTGAATTTCCCTTTAAAGACCCACCACCCTGCTCCCTTGCTCTGGTGTAGAGACTGTGTAAAACGTGTGTGCTTTGGGAACTTAAAAATCTCAAGCTCAAGTCTTGACCAGTAAGTAAAAAGGATCAGATTTCAGTTATTTGCTGAAAAATACATTGTTTTAGAAACGTTAAAAAAAATACTTTATCCATTCATCTGTCGATGGGCATATAGGCCATTTCCATGATTTAGCTATGATAAATTTTGCTACTGTGCACATGGGTATGCATGTATCCCTGTAAAGTGATGGCTTTTAACTCTTGAGAAGATGCCTCGAAAGGGGCAGAGCTGGGCCTGATGACATTTCAGTTTTTAGGGTTTGAGGCATCTCCACACTGATTTCTAGGGTGGTTGTACTAGTTTATATTCCCACCAACAATGTATTATGTATGTGTACCAAATCCCCATGATAAATGTTCAGTGATAAGATTTTTTGAAAGTACCATCAGTGAAAACTTGACTTGCAGATTCAAGAGCAATGGTAAACCTTTAAACTTTTTACAAGAAAAAAAAATTGTGGAATATTTTTCCACAGAAATAGTTTCTTTTGAGGTGAAATTCACATGATGTGGAACAATTCAGTAACACACAGCATATTCACATGCTGAGCAACCACTTCCTCTAGCTAGTTCCAAAACATTTTCATCACCTGGAAGGAAAACTCCACAGCCATTAAGCAACTGCTGCCATTTCCCCTTCATTCCAACCACCAATTTGCGTTCTGTCTTTGTGGGTTTAACTGTTCTGGTTATTTCTTATAAATGTGCCCTTTTGTGTCTGGCGTCTTTCATTTAATGTAATGTTTTCAACGTTTACCCAGCTGGTAGTGTGTGTCAGTACTTCATTCTTTTTCGTGTCCAAACAGTAATCCAATGTATGAATACACCACAGTTTATTTACCTGAACATCTATTGATGGACATTTGGGCCTCTTGTACCTTTTGGCTATTCTGAATAGTGCTGCTGTGAACCAGCAGCTACGTGTACCTGCCCTGTCACAGAGCAGTTGTGCCCTTGGGTATTTACCAGTGAAGCCATATATACATGAGAAGGTTTATAACAGCCTCAGTCATAATAGCCCAAAGCTGGAAGTATTATATCCCGATTGGCGTCTTGATTACATGGGATCTGTACTCCAGTTGAAACCTAAAATCTGTTTAATTTCATTATTTACAAACTTTAGTGAGAGGATATGAGAATAACTTCAGTTTTTAAAATTCTGGCTACATTATTAGACAAACCAGAAGAACAAGGATAGTAGAAAATTAGTTAACACACAGGCCTGGGCAGGAGATGATGGTGACTTGGCTTGGATAATAATGGTGGGAACGGTAAGAAGCAGTGAGGTTCTGGGTACATTTTGAAGGTAGAGCTAATTTGACATGCTGATGGATATGCTGATGTGAGGGAAAGAAAGTTACAGGGGACAGTGCTAAGGTTTTTGAAGGAGTAGAGCTGTCATTTCATGAGCTAAGACGAGGAGCAGGTTTGTAGGGAGGATCAGGAATTTGGCTTTGGATTTGCAGAGACACCTGTTTAACACCTAAGGCCATTGTGAAGGAGGCAGCTATAATACAGAAGACTAGGGTTCAGGTGTCTGATCCAGACTGGAGATAGAAAATTTGGAGTTGTCAGCATACATGGTGAAGACCTGAGGTTGAGTGGCTTTCCTGATGGAGTGAATGTGCACAGCAAGGCCTGAGGCCTGAGCTTTGGGCACTGTCAGGTTAGAGGTAGCAGAGGAGAAGCATCCAGCGCAGGGGACCAAGAAGGCCTGGCCATGGTGGAGAAGGAAAACCAGAATAGTGTGATTTGCACATTCCCTGTTTCCAACAGGAAATGCTTAATGAACTGTTTAGATTCTCTTACTAACTTCCTCTTTGCTAGTTTATTGTTCAGTTTGCCCCATATAAATTGGTATAGTCTCAGGAACATTAATGATTACTTAACTATTATACTTTTTCCTCCATTGGTAAATAAGATATGGCATTTTATGTGAAAACTGAAACAGAAAATGTAATCTACTATTAGTATGAACTATAAATGAAATAGCCATGTCCTTCTGTGTCAATTAACCTTGGTTGTCAACTTGACTGGATTAAGAAACTCCTAAAGAAGTGATTGGATTGCACGGGCACTAACCTTCATCAGTGGGTTAACCTGTTGAGAGTTCATAGTTGAATGTAGTGTTAGGAGGTGGGGCCTAGTTGGAGGAAGTGAGTCAAGGAGGCCTGACCTTGAGGACTATATCTGGTCCTGGACCCATTGCTCTCTGGATCTTTGCAATCTACTGTGCTTCCCAGCCACCATGCATTGAGCAGCTTTACTCTGCCAGGTCTCTGCCTTGGATCCAGCTGACCATGAACTGAGCCCTCTGAAACCCTGAGCCAAAATATGCCTCTCCTTTAAGTTTCAAGTGTCAGTATTTTGTCCCAGCAACAGGAAAAAGTGACTTAAAACACTTTATTAGGTAACAGTATTGAAGTTTAGGTAAGATTGAATTTTTAAAATCAAATTTGAGCTGAGTAACATAAAATCAATGTAAGTCAGCATTAATATAAAATAACTTTGTGGTAGACAATATAAGGACTAGTGATGTTCATGTCCTAATCCCCAGAACTTGTAAATACATTACCCACAGTGCAAAAGAGACTTTGCAGATGTGATTGTGCAGTGATGATCCCGATTATCTGGGTGAGCCTAGTATAATCACATGGGGCCTTAGAAGTGACAGAAAGAGGCGGAAAGGTGGGATAGAGCCCACCATAAAGGCGTGTACCTGGTTAGAATATAAGGAACAGAGAGATAGCTAGTGTTGTTGCTTGTTGCTTGCTGCTTTGCTGTCTTCTCTGCTTGCCATGAACTGTTTCTCCTCTGCAATGCCCCTCTTCCATGCCATCCTGCCTTGGAGCCAGCCAATGAGGGACTGAAACCTCTACAAACTGTGAGCTGAAATAAACCTTTCCTCCTTTAACTTTGGATGTCGGGTATTTTGTCTCAGCAAGAGGAAAGTAACTAAGACACTTTTTTTTTTTTTTACTAGATTGATAGCAAAATAAGCAGTTCATTATTAAATTGATGTCTGCTCTTTGAATTTCAAGTTGATAGTGAGGGGCTGAATATGGGTTGAATATCCCATCCCATATCCAAAATGTTTAGAACTAGAATCCAATTTTGCAGTTTTTGACTTTTGGAATATTTACATAGGCTCTACTGGTTGAATATCCCTAATGTGAAAATCTGAAATGTCATAAAATCTGAAACTTTTGGGCATTGTGTCAGTTCTCAAAAAGTTTCAGATTTTTTTTTTTTTTTGTACCGGGGATCAAACTCGGGACCTTGCGCTTGTGAGGCAGGCAGCCGAACCACTGAGCTAAATCCCCGTCCCAACATCAGAGTTTGAAGCCACATTTTGGGTTAGGGATGCTTGATCTGCAATTTTTAAAAATTATAAAATACAAATGAGTCTTCTTATTATGAACTTAGGAAAAACATCAAATTTAAATCATTCAAGGCCAGTGAGGTCAACTTAATGAGATCTTGAGTCAAAATAAAACGTTAAAAGGGCCAGGGATGTAGTTCTGTGGAGATCACTTGCCTAGCAGGCCCAAGGCCCTGGACTCAATCCACAAGTACCTTGAGAGGATAGTAGACATGTTTCTTGGAATGGTGACATAGCTGGGAATTGTACAGAGTTCTTTTTCTAGTTTTAAAAGTCAATTTCTTTCATTCTCCCAGGACCCATTCTGTTATGAAAACTTGCTGTCCACCCCCCATGTTTCTCCATCTTACCTGAGAGTGTTTTTCCTTTTTTTCTTGAAACCGTGCTTAACCCTGAACAGTTAGGGAATAAGGAAAAGTTTGTCTTTGGCATCTGCTGACCTTCTTTATGTTAGATATTTAAGCCGTAATGTATAGTGTTGCTCTCAGGCAGCCACATTGATCTTTCCTGGGCAGTGACAGGCCCCAGAGCATCTTCATTATGACCCCACAGTGAAACTTAGCAATCCTGTTTCCTGCTGAGCAAGTGCCCATCTGCTTTTTGCTAATTAACCTCATACTCAGCCATAGAATTGTGTTTTACGATCTTAATGTTGTGTCCTCTCCCTTCCCCTTTGTTTCAGAGCAGAGTCCACCACCCAGTAAAGTCTGGAGACAAAGCTGGGCCTTGCCATGCCCCATGGTTGGGCAGCGGTGCCCAGGGCCCCCTCCGCCTGTGCCTCTCCCTTCTCTCACCGCGTGCCCACAGGGGGTCGCTCTCTGGACTTAACAGTTCCTGTTTCCATCTTGAAATCTATAATAATATCTAAAAGTGACTTGCATTTTCACTGTGCGCTAGGTCCTGGAAATTATGTAGGCATCCTGTGGAACATTTATTTATTCATTGCCTACTTTCTCTCCTCCCTTTGTATCCATCTTCTCGTGCTGCGCCCTCCCTACCCATGTTATTTTCATTTGTTTTGTTTTGAGGTGCTGGGGCTGGAACTCAGGGCCCTCACACTGAGCTTCACCCCCAGCCCTTTTAATTTATTTTTAAATTTTGAGACAGGGTCTCAGTAAGTTGCCCTGGCTGGGCTCGAGCTTGCGATCCCCCCCTCAGTCTCCCAGAGTACTAATTACTGGAGTGACCTGCAATGCCTGCCACCCCCTTTTTTCTTCCTTTTAGTTTCTCTTCACCTCCGCCAATCCAAAAGTGGTCTCTTACTCAGAGTTTAGTTTTTGTAATTGCTTGGCCAGTGTAACAGTCCTTTGCAATACTTTGAGCTTTGACACCCACTTTTATTCTAATCCGGGTAGGGGACCTCTGCAGTTGTCTGCAGCTTTTGCCTGGGACTTTTGTATCTCTAAAGATGGGCTTGTTTGTGGTCAGTTACAATTTGTGTTTAATTCAAGCGCAGTTGTGTCCACAGAGAGCTGATGGTCTTGGAGCTGTGATTTAGGGATCATCTCGGGTCCAGCCCGGATTAAGGTACAAACTTAGTGGCCAGTGCTTCCTGGTTTGCTGATTGAGGTTGGAAGGGCATCTGTCTCCTGGTTGGGTAAGCCGAATGCTCCAGATAATAGAATACTTCTTTGAATGATTAGACTATTGACCATAGTTTCACATATAGATGCCAGGAAATTAGAATCATTCTAGTAGGGGAGATAGAGAATCACTAAGCAGAGATAGAGTCCGAGTAGTGAATTGTGCTGGGCAGGAGACTGAGGCAGATCAGGAGGGGTGGCGGGCAGGTTCAGTGTGATGAGGCCGAGTGGTAGGCTGCTCGCCTGGCCTCCCTGAGGAGGGGCATTGAGCAGATCCTCTCTGAGAGGAGGCGGCAGTCCCAGGAGAGAGAGCCCCAGTTCAGGCACCTGTCAGTGGGGACAGGCGGGTCATAGGAGCTGCAGCGCCATGTTTGTCTCCAAATAACGGCTTCTGGGAATGAGAAATGAAGCAGTTTTAGTTTGTGTGTGTGTGTGTGTGTGTATTGAATTTCTTCAGGAAAGTCAATTTCTTTAAAAGTAGAAGATACGGATATTTGTATTGAGATCCTTATAGAAATTATTTATCTTTGCAGTTGTCTCCTGGGATTCATGGAGGTTGGTTCTAGGACCTTCCGTGGATACCAGAAGCCTCAGGTGCTCAAGTCCTTATAGAAAATGGTGCAGTATTTGCATATAAACTGCCCATGTCCTTCTCTATAGTTTAGCTCATCTCTAGATGATTTGTAAACCTAACATGATGTGAGTGCTGTATAAATAGTTGTTACACTGGAGAGCTTAGGAAATAATGACAAGGAACAAGATCTGTTAATATTCAGTGCAGATATGGTTTTCTTTTCAAGTGTCTGCTCAGCCATCATTGGAATCCATACCTGTGGAGCCCACGGATGTAGAGGGCTGACTGCTCGGCCAACCCGCTTAGGCTTACCCATGGGTAGTCAGGTGTCTTCAACTGTGCACACTCAAGCTTTTAGTCATTGTCTGTGTCAGCTCTGATTTTCGATTCTTCCTTCCAGCTTGAGGTTGGTGATGGAATTGTTAGGGAAGATTAATCGGGCTTCAGACTGTAGCCTGTGGTCTTTAGTTGACCGCCCAGTATGAAGCAGAAAGGCCAATTTCCGGATTAGAGCACAGTGGTGCCTCAGTTCACAGACACATTTGTTTGTAGACGATTTGGTTTGCAAATAGAAGCATTTGGCAAAATTTTGCTTTTGTTTGCAGACTCTACACCGGGTGACAAATACAACTGCAGCCATCTTTCCCACACAAACACAAACATGGCCATCTTTTCCCAAATCTTAGAACAGATTAAGTTCAGGAACCAAGGTACCAGTGTATTTGTCAAAAAAAATTCCCTAGTAAAGAATCTTCAGGTTGAAAAATGACTAGTACTTTTTCAAGTTTTAACTTTATAAAAAAACATCTTTAGTGAGATGGTTGTTAGCAATTTAAAGCAAGTTGTCGAGAAAAAATACAGACCTATTTACAATTCTTAGAAATAAATTTGATAAAAGAAAACTTGAACACTTACAATTACAAAAGCATTATAATATTAACACTGGAACAAGATAGACATACATGGATGTAACACAGTTGAGGCCCTAAAATAAACACGTATGGTTAGTTGATTTACTTTTTATTGCATGTATTAGTGTACATATTAATGGGGTATAATACGGTATTTCAACATACACATACAGCATGCACCAATCAGATCAGGGTAATTATTATAAATAGTTGTGCTATGTGTAGGGCATGGACCTTTAAAGTTTAAATACTTAGATTTTGATTTGGAATGTTAGTATAAATGTGTTTATCCCATTGGTAGGTAATGTGTATAACTGCATATTTATTTTTCTTGTGTAGTTTCCCCCTGGAGACCTAAGTTACCAACACTTTTGAAGATTATTCCAAGGGTGTTTATTTCAGGGAAGTTGGGTGTCGCCTGCTGACTGACAGACTGTTCCTCTAGGGTGTTCTAGCAGGGTGCTGAGGAAAGAGCCTGCCTGGGCTGTGGATTCAGCTGCGCAGAACCGCACTTTCCTGTTATGTGTGTGGCTCTGGGTTTGAGTCCCAAAAGTGTTCTTTGACTTTGGAGTTTTTACTGCTATTCTGCTAGGCTACTTTGGTTATTTGGAAGTACTTTGTATATTTACATCTTTGATAGAAACAAATTGGAGTTACTTAATTACTAGCTAGTATTTGTGAAGGCTGTTTATTGGGATAGCTGTTTTAGGTTAATCTTGGGATCTCTATTATCATCCCATTGCATTTACATTTTTATTTAAGTCTTTTAAGGCCCTTCACTGTTAATATTTTTAGTGTTTGGCTAGCTGTGTATCTAATAGTACTTAATGTCATTGGCTTAATCCAGTCAGATTGGAAAAGAACATTTATTAGGAAGTGTGGGAAGATAGAAACAAGGATCTTAAACACTTGCCAATGGTTCAAAAATCTCAGCTAATCATTTGTGTTTGGAGAATTATACAATGTATAGGAAAGCACTGTATAAATGCTAAATTTATGTCAAGTGTTAGTTGCCTTGAAAATGTTTGTCACCCTCTGTGCTGGTGGTAGGAACATATGTTTGTTTGCACGGCTACTGTGAAACACAATATGGAGGTTCCTCAAAAAACGAAAAACAGAAGTGCTTTCAGACCCAGCAAATTCACTTCTGGGTATATATTCAAGAAAACTGAAACCAAGAACTTAAGGAACACGCTGCTATCCTATAGCCGCCACATTCACAGTAGCCAAAAGGTGGGAGCCATCTAAGTGATCATCTTTGGATGCATGGCATATTGTTCAGCCTTGACAAGGAAGGGAGTTCTGCTGCATGTCACAGTGTGGAGGAACCTGGCAATCATTTTACTGAGTGAAGTAAGCCAGCCACAAAAGGACCAATGTGGGACTCCACTTCTGTTGATGTACCAGAGTAATTAGTTTCTAGAGACAGAAAGTAGAACGCAGGTTGCAGGGCGGGGTGGGGAGAGGCGGAATGGGCAGTTAGTATTTAATGAGTGCAATTTTGGTTTTGTAAGATTTAAAATGTCCTAGAAGGGCTGGGGATTTAGCTCAGTGGTTCTGGCGCCTCCCTCGCAAGTGCAAGGTCCTGAGTTCAATCCCCAGTACCAAAAAAGAAAAAAGTCCTAGAGGTAGATGTGATGATGGTGTAACAATGAATGTACTTATAATTATCGCCCTACATTTTTAAAGATGGTTAAGATGGAAAAAAGGAGAGAGGCCCCCCATGCAACAAAACACATACCTAGTTATAAGCTTTACCTCGAGTGAAGAAGGCAAATAATCATGGAATTGGGGATGAGGAGTGGGAGAAGATGAGATGAAGGTGAAGCAAAAATAACAGAATGGTGATGTTGAAACAGGGTGAGGGTCCACAGGCCTCACCGCACTATTCCGTGTCTTTTGTATATATTTGAAGTTTTCCTTAAGATAATTTTTTTATGGTTACTACTTGTCATTCCACTTAGAAGATTAAAGAATCTTGTCACTTGTGGGTCCACCGTGGCTGCTACCTTTTCCATTAGGCTTCCAGCGAAGAGAGTTGTGAGTGGTGTGGAAGGGCAGGGGCGAAGCTCCTGGTGGGGAGGAGATGGGAGGAGAGGCGCAGCTGGTGAGAGTGCAGGAGCCAGCTTCAGGAAGGGAAGCCTTCTCAGGCGGGAATTCTGTGACGCCAGTGCCTCCGGAAAGCTGCAGTACGGCACAGCACGATCCTCTCCGTTGCTGTTCCTTACCTGGGGCGAATATGCATGTTTTCACTACACACCAGTGCCCTTCGGTACTGTATATTCATTTCTCCCACGAGCCCAGACAGGGTCGCCTTGTTACCCATGCTTTTTGGGAAGCACAAAAGTGTCTCGACACCGTGACGTTAGTATCAGAAACACTGTGGCATGCGGCTGGGGGAGCGTGGATTTATCATGAACATCTCTGTGCGAAGACAGCTGGGTTCTCAGGCACTTTCGGTCAGTCTCGGGGAGAATGTGCTGCCTGTTTATAAGGTGCTTGTGTGGTCGGATCATTTCTGCAGATTGCGGTGTTTCTGTGAGCAGGATTAGCGTTCTGTGTCACCTCCGAGAGAGCTGGATGTGGGAAAAGAGCGGGGCTCAGGCGTGCAGTCACACTGAGCTTCCCCTGTACTGAATCTGGTCGTCCAGCCCTTTCAAGACAGGTGAGCCGGATGAGAATGTTTTGAGTCGGTAACATTAGATTTCATGGTTGATTATAAGAGAAAGGTGATAGGGGAATTTGATGCAGGAGCATGAGAGGCATTTTTATTTTCTCTGTGTTTAACTATTGTGCTGGACTAATTCCGGACAGCATTCGGATCATCCTGTGGACATTCAAAAAAAGTCTCCTAAGAACTGAAGTGTCTGCATTCTTGATAGTCACTGTCAACTTGCCTGCATCCTCTTTTGCTTTGTGTTTCTTTGTTTTTGAGTGGACTTGAAGAGATTTTCATATATTTACTGGTCATTTTTCTCCTCGGTAAATTATCTTTGTCGCTCATATTTCATTGGGTTATTTATCTCTTCCTTAACAATTTCTAAGAACTGTCTATATTCATATTTGCTACAAATACTTTTCTCTTTGTTCTTGGTAGTTTTTTGGTTTGGTTTGTCTTTCTGCCTTTTCCCCAAACATTTGTGTCCTTTGACTCCTAGATCTTGCATCATCATTAAAGTTCTGTGCTTCAAATTGTATTTTTTTTTTTTGGTACCAGGGATTGGACTCAGGACCTTGCGCTTGTGAGACAGGTGGCAGAACCACCGAGCTAAATCCCCGGCCCTTCAACTGTATTCTTGAAACTTTCTCCCGGTTTCCTTCAGTATTTACGCGGTTTCACATTTCAGCTTGAGCTGTGATGCATCCGCAGTGTGCTCTGGCCTCAGGAGTGGAGGAGGAGATAGATGCAGCTGATGTTTTCCGAGTCAGTGCTGTGTTTTGAGCTCGGTGTCTTGATTTTCTGACTGACGAACATCGTGCACAGAGCAGCAGGTGTACAAGGCAGGTCGCTGTTGAGTGGGGGACACTGCATGTGTGACAGTGCGGGACTCCTCTTAAGAGATGGTGGCTTCTGCTTGGGCGAGGAGGGAGAGCCTGGTATGCCTGTCCCGGCCGGGGGAAGAGGGCTGCCAAGGGGTGCGCGTTGAGCCCCGAGTATTGTGGGGCTTATTAGCCCCTCGCGAAAGAGGTTCAGGCTGGACTGAGGTCACCATTTCTCATCAGCATGTATTTGACATGGTAGTATACTGACATAGAGATTGTTTTGATAGAAACGTGATTCTGTAATTTGTCGATTTACAACTAAATCAGCAGAATTCATTGATCCTTTTTAAGGGGAAACTTGATGGTGCCGTTCCTGAGACCACGTGTGGAGCTGTGAAGTGCTGGGACTGTAGACCGACCATAAAGCCAGGCGGCTCTTGCCTGCAGTCCCACAGACTCCTTGTGTTGTTGCCTGGTGCGCACCGCCCTCCTGCCTCCGGTGAGGACAGCAGTCTGCACACAAGTCTCCCACCATCTCGGTGTAGTCTCAGAATAGCAGCTTGGCTCTAGGGCTGCAGACTCGCCGAGGAGGTTCGGGGCCTTTTGTGTCCTTGACATTTGACTTGCTGTACATAGAAACATAGGCATTGGTTGAAACTAGGCATTCTGAATATACAAAAGTGCATTTCTTGGAGCCACACCATTGATGTCATCAGCATTACACTTAGCTTTCGTTTTCTTTTTTGTCATGGTTTTTGTTTAGAAAAAGAAGTTAAATTGCTACCTTACCTTTATTAGTTTCATTAGTGATACTCTTATATTTCAGCATAAAAAAATAAATGTGTCATATCTCAGGAAGTGACTAGAATACTACTTTAGCTTTGTAGAACCAACTTGGAATTAACAAGATAAGAAGGGCATCCTTCCCTTCAAAACAGGATTGTGACTTTCTGTGTAGAAATGTGTACCTGTTCATTTTTCTGTGATAAAGATAACTTCTGATATTTCATATCTTAGTGTCATGTTAGCGATTTCATTCCATGATCATTTGTTCATTCACATGTATTTTTATTTTTAGCTCTAAGCGAAAGACATGAGGCCTCAACCTGACATGAGGTGATTTTGAGGTCATCCGCTTTCTGGCTAGAAGTGTGCTGTCACCTGGTCCTGAAACCACTTCACACAGAATGGTAATGGCAAACCTGAGGGACAGAGAGGGGCCTCACATTTCCATGTCTGTACCCATCCCTGTTCCTTCCTTTGTAAGATTCAATTATCTTTAGAGTTGGGAACGAAAGGCATTAAGCAACATACTGACACAGCCTAACTGAACTGTGCTGATGTTCAGCAACTGGATTAACATCAGTCTTCATGTGCTACTCAAACCTTGTAAAATTGTTTAAACACAGGGTCTTTTTCTCTTTTCCAAGTGACTTCTTGAGCTACTTAAGTGATAATAAAATATTTACTATATTAGGAATTTGCAGATTGAAGTGTTTTGGTTTTTTTTTTTGACAACCAGTAGGTTTAGTCTTAAACTTAGTAAGTTTTCAGACTAGAAAGTAAGGATTCTTGCCACAACATTCTCTTCCTATGATAAATTTGATGTTTTATGTAGATAATGTGTTTTACTTTTTTAAATGTAAAGTGCTATTGAGAATTTCATTTGTACAGTTCACTCTGCTTTAATTATTAAAAGTTCAAAATATATCTTATAGTTGTACATAATAGCATCGTTTTTCTTCATTCAGCTTTTTGGGGGATGTGTGTGGCCAGGTTTATTCTGATGGCCCATGTCTTGCTAAGTGTGTGATGAAGCAGTGCTTCAGGGCCACACTGGGCTTCCCTCCCTAGAAACAGAATTTCAGTAGGGTTCCTTGCTCAAGTTAAGATTTTACACTAAGCCACTAGTTAGGAGAAGCGGTTTGTTACTATTTCATTTCCTGTCTTACCTGAAGTAGCATTAATGGCAAAAGCAGCATCACAAAATTACTTCCGTTTATCCTATAAAATTGATGAGATGCTTAGAAGGTGAAATTTTGCCCCATTCTAGAGGGTAATATTTTTGTTTTTAAACAAAAGTCATATTTATTTTTATGTTTTCTTCTAGAGGCTCAGTTGTCACTAGTTCTGTGTCACTGTTTTTCTGTAGCGTTTTCATCTGTTAGATACTGGGAATGACTTGAAAAATAGAGGGTATGTCTGTGGCTTTCTGTAGTGATGGGGAATCGTTCTTGTGCACTGAGAACAGCTGCTCAGGAGCCACGGTGGAGCTGTGGCCCTGCTGGGTCCACCGGCACGGGTGACCTTATGTCTGTGGTCCCGCCCATGCTGGAAGGCCAGCCCAGTCCATTCTGAGGGGGCCCTGGGGAGCCCCGAGTTCTTTGTTTTGCCAGCTCTCCTCATGTGTAGCTTTATGTTTCTACACATGTGAACTCAGAACTGTTGGTTTTCTGTAAAATCAGTAAATACGCTGGTCTAAGCGTGGTATTTAAGCCTATTGTAGGAGAGCTTTCAGTGTACTTCATTTTTGTGTAGTAATAGTATTTTAATGAGAAACAATTACTGATAACTATCTTTTGGGAAGTTCTGATTTCTTTCACTTACTCCCAATTTTTTAATAAAAATCCTAACTAGATTGGGCTGTTTGGAAGTTAGAAAAATCTTTGAAGAGCATCTTTCTTATTTCATGTACTAGAAGTTAATGTGGAACGACAAAGACTTTAACTACTGTTAATTGGCTAAAAAAGTAGTTTCTAAAGGTATGAGTTGTACAGGAACAAAATCTGTAATTTCATTTATGCATTTGAATGTCATTATGGTGATAGCTTCCATAAGAAAATACAGAACTAGTGCCATTTTAAAGCTTCACATTGTAAATGTGAACATATTTTCACCCAGTAAATATTAGATAGTTAAATAGGTAATATGTATGATGCTTAATATTTATTTTGATAAACTTCCATGTTTCTAAGTAAAACGTTACTATTAGACTTGAGCTATAAATGTAAGATGAGAGAAAACATTAACATTAAAATGTTTTGAAAATTTAAAAGTAAATACCTTTTCTGAGAACGTCTTTTCCTTTGACATTGTTTAATTCTGTTCCCTTTTTTGTTTTTTAGGTTTGCAATTTTTTTTGGTGATGGCATGTTCAGAATCTTGGATCCCTAAGTTGAATATGTTGGAAATAATTAGAAATCTTGGAAGTTATATGATTACTTAGTAGGTGAAATAGTAAATTTAATAAAAGTATATAAAAGAACTTTGTCCTTTTAAGTTGGCATGCATGTCTTAAATTGTTAGCTGTCAGTATTAGTGCCATACTCTTTTGACGGTTTGGGGATCTTAGGGATTTCATATTTCCTCAGGCAGTTAAGTAATTCCTCCCATGCCTGTTCAATTAGCTTGTCTTCTTTTCTCTCTACTTTGCAGTGTATGTTACTTAGACCAGAGTATTGCTCAGACATAAAGAAGAGGGAAAAAATCATCAGGTGACAATCCAAAAGGTGGTAATTACAAAATTTCAACCTGGAAACAGTCTATATTAGAATATGCAAATTCTACCCAAATTATATCCAAATACACTTGGGGCAAAATGCTGCCAGTTTTCAAAATTTGACATTATATAGGACAGAAATGCTAACGAGGAGGAAAAAGAGCTGTTCGTTTTCACCTCCTTGCTTCCCCCTTCCTCTTATCAGGTGAACGAACTGCATAGGAGCTAAAAGGTAGGCGGTATGAATAAGGTAGAGAAGGGGATCCCTCTGGTCTCCAAGAAGGCTCAGTGTTCCTCCAAAGTTGAAAGGTCACTTCTTCATGTACCTGAGCACGGCGTCCAGCTGTGGACTGCTCAGTAAGCCTGGGCTGTGGCCGGGGTGACCTCAGCCTTGGGACGGACGGAGAGCTAGTATTGCTGCATAGTGGTAGATGGCCTGTGAGGGGCCATGGCGCCCATCTCTTCCCAGTCTCGCCCGCCCCTGCTGGGATCGAGACTTGAGAACATGCTGGGGGACACAGATCAAATATGGCTGCCGCCCTTCTCTGGTGGCCCAGTCTGGACAAGACCGATTTGTAAGACCACATGCAGAAACAACTCGGAAAGGATTGAAGGAGAAAGATGAAGAAAGTGCAGGGAACTGGAGCCTGATAATAGCTTGAGAACATATTCACATATGAGTTTATTGCAAGGTTTATTATTAGGGGATTATCCAGAATTCATGAAATCAGTATACGCCTCCAATAGATGTTTCCTCACATTTCTGTTGGAAAGCTTTCAGGGGCTGAAGGGCTGCCCATTACCCCTGCTCCCATTTTTGTTTTGCTTTGTTATAAGAGGAATTGGCTGATGTATGTTTAATAGCAGGCACAATAAACACATTAGATTTTATTTTTAAATCAAGTTACATTTTAATCTAAACGTGTGTTCCCTATTTAGCTGTTTTCCCATTTCAGCTGGCCTTCCTTTTTTTTTTTTTCCTTCTTTTGGTACCAGGGATCGAACTTGGGACCTTGCACTTGCGAGGCAGGCACCGGAACCACTGAGCTAAATCCCTGGCTTCAGCTGGCCTTTTAAAAACTTGCCTTCTGTGGTACTTTTGTCAGTAGAGGTGTTTCCTCTGAGCCAATTCTAGCCACAGTATTGACTGGGCCTAGGCATTTGCTATACAGAGAAGGAATTACCCAGGCAGGAAAAAATTTAGTCCCTACTGGAATGAATATTTTAAAGACCTTCTTAGATTCTAATAACTGCGTACAAGTGAAAGAGACCCAAGAGTGGGAAAAACTTAAGAACCTCACAATACAAAGTAGGGGTGGGTGGGCTTAAATTTCTTAGCGCCAACTTAAAATGCACAGAGGGAAGGAAGTTACTTTCCTGGGGAATTAAGCTGGTGTGCAAGATGCCTCAGTAAGAGGCATTTTGTTGTTTTGGGTAACACACTACATGTGGCAGTGTTTTAAGGATAGTGATGTGATCTTTAGAAATACTGATGCATTTCCAAACAGTGAGTTTGATTTTATTCTGGTGGGTTCTAAAGAGGTATGTGGCTCAAAGATTTACTTAATTCCAAAAAATACCTGGGATATTAGAAAAATGTTATGAATAAAGTTGTTTTGTCCCCACTGTGTAACTTCAGGAAATACAGTAGAATACTGAGGATTGCAGAGAATTTAGTACCTGCATATAACCAGTTTTTGATGGTTGCTTCCTAGGAACTTTTAAATGAAATTTTCTCTTTAAGTCTTATGTCAGCCTACATTATATTGTAAGAGGATTTTAATGTGTGTTTCATGGGAAATCTGTACATTCCTGAGCCACTGCACTTCACGCCCGAACACACTGCTTACAATCCAAAGTCTGACTCCGTTTATCCCAGGAGGAACAGAGGTGTGAGAGTCCGGGTACACTAAGCCTAGAGGGACCCAGAGAAAGTGACCTAAAACCATAGCCCTTGTGTTTTGGAATTTTAGACAAACTCCTGTCAGACCTTTAAGAGAATCCAGGGCTCCTCTTGGCAGGAAGACTGCACAGACCTGGTGTTTCTGTGTGGTTTCTAGGTGTGCAAGGGCTCCTCTTGGCCGAGTGTCAGGAAGCCCTGATCTGAAGAAAGAGCCTCTTCCTGTCCTTGCTCCAACTGCGTTGCAGCTCTGTCAGTAGTTCTCTGCTGCCTTGGATTGGGACATCGGCCTTGAAGGATGCTACTGTTTCAACACAGAGACCTGCAGCCACAGTCAAGAGATTTACAGTGAAATGGACCAATGGTCTGCGAAGCGTGCATCAAGTACAAGAGGACATAGAGCCCTGGGTTCCTGCTGGTGAAAGGGTTATTTCAGAATAAGTTGAATATCAATGCCTTGTTTTTAAAATGAGCGTGCTTTTTGCTAAAATTTCTGATGACTATGAAAGTTTCTTCCCTGGGTCCTTCTCTTGTCTCAGGATATCAGATTCATGCTGTAAACTGTATACTTCAAAGTAAAATAGAGATTGGAAATTTGGAATTCTGTTGTTTTGTGACTTTTGAATTTGCAGCATATTTTCAGAAAAATTGTCAAGATTCCCAGATTATTTTTATTCCTTTCTTTCCAAATGTATGATTATTTCTCAGTTTTATTCACTCATTTATAAGTTTAGAGAAGAATATTATCAGTTTATATGTCGACACAGAATGGATGCAGCTGATTGATATTATTAGAAATGTATTTCAACCACAAAAAAGTGCACTGAACAGCTCCAGTCTTCCTGTGTAACCTCAGTTCACCTGCTGGCCCTGTCACTCACTGCCACTTTCCTGCAAAATCCAGCTCATGTGGAAGATCATCCTCAGAAAATCAAGAAATCTGAAGAAACTCTGCTCTTGGGACTGAGTAGCTGGAAGAGCATCTTCAGGGGCTGACATAGCCCATTTGAGAAGCACTGCTGTTTATATGTGAGACAGAATCTGTCTGTCTGAATTGAACCTGTAGACATGAAGTAGCCTTATAACATGTACCTTCAGTGTAAGCAGAACAGAACTCACCTCTGAAACATTTCAGTATAGTCTAGTGGAGAGGGGCCTGGATCAGTGAGCCAGCTGAAAGTTAGGCATCATTTATTCAGGATTTATAGGTATTTTTTTTTTAAGTTCCTTTTTGAGTATAATGTCCTGGGTTTCTGCAGTGTATGCTTCACAATTCCACCTCCTGACCTCAGCACCCGTGCTGTGTTTTCACGGCTGTCCCATAGTGTTGGCGTGAACGTGCATGACGGACTCGTCTGTCCTGCCCGTTCTTCCCCAGGGGCACTGGCCACTTCCCAGCAGGCCCAGTGTCAGCCTGTTTGTCTCAAGGTTAGAAGCATCACCTGCAATTTAGCCTTCTCTCCTCCCATTGTCAGGTTTTGTCCCGCTGAGAATAGCTTTGCAGCTGCCTTGCTGCAAGAGTCTGTGTCTTGCTTTTTATTTCCATCTCCCTCTCTGGGGGGAAGTGGAACAGATCCACACCTAGGGATCTTGGCTGTCTAAGGCTTGTGTCTGGGAGCTTCCCCATCTAAGTTCACAGCATTGTGTTCTAAAGGCGACCTCGGCCGTGGTGGTGACGTAGCGTCCTTGGCTCTGTTCTGTGCCTTGAGCAGAGCTGACTCAGAAGTTTGCTAGGTGCAGGAGGTGTCCAGTGAAGGAGGTCATTGGGAGCCCCACCTGTTTCCCTTGGGTGCTGGTAAAACATGCAGAGGAAGCGTTGTGTTAAGATTCTGATGGAAAGATTGGTCAAGATGAGACCTCTTTTTAGGCCCACTCGAACCCACATTGACTGTTGTATGTGTCTTCAAAAAAATTATAATTGCTTAAAAAGTACCATATTATACTGACATAATAAAAATAAGATATTTCTCTAAGATTTTCACATAGTTTCATAATCAGTGCCTATGTGTTATTTGTAAAAGGATACACTGCATATAATTTTCTGACTTTAATGAAATTAAATGGTCTAATTATTTTAAACAATAGTTTCATTTTTGAGAAAAATTTTAAAGCATGACTTTTTACTTTTCATATAATGTACAAATATTCCCTAGAGCTGCTTGGCATGCACGTGTTTTCCATATATAAAAGTATAATCAGGGTCCATGTATTTTCTCCAGTGAGTGTCTCTGGACTTTGTAATTACCAAGTGTGGGGAGTAGGGTGGGACTGGAAATGCCCATTAACAGATTCTGTATATGGAGCAAACTTTGAATAAAGTGACTTTGTACTCTGAAGCAGCTTTTAGTTAATAAATTTTTGTGTAAGAAAATGCATGTGAGTTGAAGGAAATGAATTAAAAGACCTGTAATAATCTAAGTCAGGGTTTGTAGCTTTTCTGCCCAGCGCTAGCACTGGTAGTAAGGTGGGAGGATGGGGGACATGTAGCTCAGGGAAAGGAAGGGCTCCCCTGAGGTAGGCTGTGTCCTATGGGCTGAAACAAGGGCAAGGTGAAGACGTTACTCTTTTTCAGATTGCCCTTCGTATGCCTTTCTCACTGCTGTATGCCCTTTATTCTGTAAAATCTAAAGTTTATAATCCTGCCTTCTCTAAAAATAGTTTTAAAATATTTTACTGGTCTGTGAACAAGAGTCTGGGAGCTGTGGTTTCCTGGAACTGTTCCGTAAGTATTAACATGTTGAGGAGTCAAGTCTGCCATTTAATTTCATTTATCCCATGACCTATAACTCATAGGACAATAATTGGGCTGTCTGGAAACGGGAAAGTTTAGATCATCACTTTAGTGTTGTTGTACCATGGGAGATACTGTTTTAAAAGCCTGACGTGGTGGCTAGAATTAACCCACTTCAACCAACTCTTAACCAAAACTTTCTGGAAATCTCTCAAAACAGATTATCGGTAGTTATAGAGGTAAAAGTGAACTGAAAACTCAGATGATGTGAAGATACACTACCACACAGACTCAGGAAATCATTTCTACTGCCTTACTGATTATTTTCTAACTGCTAACTAGTCACCAACTTAGCAACAAGAATTGTACACCAATAAATGGCCAAAATGATGCAATAGTTATAACTTACATTATTTTTATTTCTGCTCATCTATAATATCGGGTGTAGGATTGACTATATGTCACAGTCCTGTGTGATTAGACTGCCTTTATTAGCTAGTTTAACTGGATGCAAGGACTTTGAAGGAGCAGATGTGAAGGATGCATTTGAGCCAACTCATGGGCCTGCCCATCTGGTAATTGCTTTATATACGGTGTTGTAGAGTGATCTCCAAGGAAGACCCTGGAATTTTTTCCCTTGTCTTCTCCAAGAGCATCTTTCCTAAATTGCTATTGTAGGCAGGAAGTTTGGAGGAAACATCTTTATATGGTTTATAATACTCCAAAGTACCTACCGTTACCTCCCTGGATATTGCAGAATTTTTACTGAATTGCTCATTAGGGAAAGCTCACCATAATCTGCATTAAGTGTCTTCCTTAGAGACTTTCTTAGTAGACCCAACATTGAATTATTAAACCCTGGGCTGTGATTAGTGACGCGGACACCTGCTTCCTGTATTCCCTGGGACTTGAAAGCAAGAATGAAATTACGGAATGAACTGAAATTGGCTGGAGAGATATTTTGGCCTTGTGTGTCGCCTCGCTCCACATCCTTTCCCGTGGGTGTAAGTCCAAGACCCTCCTCACGGGCTTTTAAATTTCACAATACTGGATGGTGCTCTTTGCCATGAAACTTCTGGATTATATATTTTCAACATTCCCAATTTTGCAGCAGAGAAAAAGATTATAAACCAATATGCATTGAAATAATTTCACTAAAATATGACATAAAGATTGTGGTACATTTGCAGTTTTCTGTTTTGAAGAGAAAGGGCAAGATTGTGATTGTAGGGCCAGGGTGAAAGTTACAAGCTTAATCTTTTTTCAGTACTCAGTCTTGCTCCAAAGCTGAGTTTCAGTTTTGGTTAAATGCTGTCTCGGACTTCCCTTAGAAATTAGAGTTTTTCTCCAACTCTTGATTGGTTTTCAGTGGCCATTTTTACCTTACAAATCCGCATTACGGAAAGGGTGACTGTACGATTTAAAGTGCCTCCTTTGTGGAATGTTCAAGAACATAATTAAAATACTGACATTATTGTAGGATAGCTTCCTCTCTTTGAGAAGTGGCCAATTAGTTCAATACCCGGCCGGGTGCAGGCCAGTGCGCAGCTCACGGGTGGCGGGGACCCATCCCTCAGGTCCTCGTGTGCCTGACTCAGCAGAGTTCTGACTGGCATGACTGAATTTCTGAGCAGTGGGATTTCTTAATGATTGTACAAAAATGACAGCAGGTGTCGGAACATTGCTTTACTCTTCTACCAAAGAAAGTGTTCAACATTTCTCCAGGAAGCCATTGTGGCAAATTGTTTCTTCCTTCCTCTGTGCTTTCTTTCTTGGATATATCTATGTAAATTAAAATTAAATAGGATTCAGTAGCTGCCATTCCCTCTTTTTAAAAATGCCATTGGCAGCTGAGCTAAAACTTGTATCTTATACTCACTATTCCTTGTAATATCTAAATCTGGTAAAGATATGGTATGTAAAAATTGCCAACGAGGCCGAAGAATATAACGAAGTTCACTGTCACACTATTGTTGACACACCAAGCATGATCATTTCTGATCTCTCGTGTTCCCAGTTTAGGGACCACACTAGCAGGATCCTTTTTGACAGCCACTTTATGGATGTAACTAACTCCCCTTTGCTGGAAATTAAATCGTTTATAGTTTTTGTTATTTGGGTTCTTGCAGTTTTTCCACTCTTACAAACTCAGTTTCATTGACTCTCCTGGATAGGTTCTACTCTTAGCGGTTACTGCCTCGTTGTAGGTCATGGACATTTTAGAAATTCAGATGTCTGTAGGTGGACACACAGTACTAGAATTGAGTGCTTGAAGCATTGTGTGCACTCTTCAAACCCTTGCACAGTGGCTTCTCCCTTTGGATCTGTGTGATGACGGCATAGATGGGGCTCTCTCGGCTGCAGGCACAGGAACCACAGGGCCCCCTGGTCTGTGTCCAGTGTGCCCCCTGCCCTGGCACCTGCTGCAGGTGATTTGCATTTGCAGCCAGACTCCTAAGCCAGTGCCAACAGAAGCTTTTGCCATCTAAGATGATTAGCACGAGTCAAAGGTAAACTGAAAACAACTTTCTAGTTTCCTCTTGTGAAACTGCTTTGATTCTGAGTTCTACTACTCTAATTAGGCAGATCAAAGTGACAACACAGTTTTCAGTGAAGTTGGAAATCCTGCAGCTCGGTTCTGGTGCTGCTCTCAGTCTAGCCATTCTTTACGAGGGTTGTGTGAACATTAACTCGTTTTTTATTGTCTTAGGCAAAGCCCCCTTGAAGTGGTCTAATTGGATTCATGCACTCAGGGCTGCTCAGCCCTGGCCTGCCCAACTTGTCCTCCTCAGCCACTTTGTGATCTTAAGTTCGCCGAATGGTTTCTAGGCTAAGCGGTTGGACACTAAATACAATGAGAAGAACCCAAA